GCGACCCTAGTGAGGATTAAGCGGTGTATAGATAATGGATGGATAAACAAACTTAATCCAGCAAAAAATATGTTTTCTCACAAAAAGTATTAGACAATGTAGTTTAGTTGTATAGAAACTATATTTAAACAGACAGGGCTATTGTCGTGATGTCTGACAACTGACGTTGGTCACTGACCTTATCTGAAGAAATGGAAGCAGCTGACTGCTTAGGCAGGCTTCTCTATTTGTATTCAAGTATGCACACACGTGCTTTCAAATGGGACCCATGTAACACAGTCAACTCATAAACCCACAACAAGCCCAGCTTCCAAAGGTGACTGAGTAGAACCAGGTCGTCCTCCAGCCTGACAGCAACGTGGTACACATATAATCTCAGTGAAGTGACTTAATCATCAGTTGTCACATCTAAGGGTTTCAGCATTTTTTCCCAGTATCCCACCATTACTATCTCAGGTCTTGCTGACCCCTGCACTGAGATTACTTTTTCAGCTTTTTCTGAATGAAGAAGAATTTGTTTCCAGCAACTGTGAGTCTAGTCTCTTTCAGCACAGAAATAGCACAAAAAAATCGCTCAGAAACATAAAGGCACAGTCCATAGTTATAAAATCAGATGAGCATTTTTAAGTGGGGAACGCAGCATGAGACAGTGTCAGGGCTGGAGACATCACAGCTGATATAGACTTAGTTCAGAGACTTAACAAGCAGCAGAGGTCCCTCTGTGAAACTGGTCGACTGAGCCACACAGCAGTCATGCTCACTAACTCAATCTGAGCAGCTGAACTTTCCTGTTGTTGCAGAGTAGTTTTCCATCAGCAAAACTGAGCAACAACTATGTTTTAAAAGTTAAGATATTACTTGAGAAAGTGTGTGTTACAATAGAACACAAGAAAACAGACGACTTGGTGTTATTGAAGATTTCCTTTAAATGCTTACTTCTGATAAACACTGTGTGAAATGAGCTCAGCTTGTCTGATCCTCAGTAACATGAGCAGATGATGGGACTATGTTTCAAGGCGTTTTATTTATAACCATGCTACACAGTAAACCATTCTTAAAAACTAGCAGACTCTCTGCATAATAGTTTTCACTTTTGTTAGTGCTAATGCTAACACAGACTGACAGATTAAAAGTTGACCAAACTATCCTATACAGCAATTTATTGAACGCGTTTTGCTGTACGAAAAGAAAACCGGGAAGGCTGATGCGGCAGGAGGCCATGAACGCATCGTGAGGCTGGTTCGACCTGCCAGGTGAGTTTCACTGAGACTGACCTGGGATCAGCTCTCTCTCCCGACAATTTTCCTCACCTAACTGCGTTCACATTTTCTGCTGACCTGGGATCACTGTGAGAGAGGACGGGACAAAGGCAATAGATTGTCAGGCAGGATGTTTCTGCTCGTTTCACCGAGAAGAAGAGACGGAGAATCAGCAGGTAAGGCTCTCCAAACATCCTGTGAGCTCTCGCTTCAGACACACAATGGCATAGTTTCTTAACATTTAGTGCGTCGCGTTGTTTACACCTGTTTTCAATTCAACTCAGTTCAATTAAAGAAACTTTATTTGTATCCTGTGGGACTTTAAGAAACGTAGGGTTGCAAGTTGCTTGGTGGTTAGCATCGTTGCCTCGCGTCAAGGTC